AGTGGGTGAAAGTGAAAGTTTGGACGGATTTTGTGACAGAAAAATGTGGATTATCATAGGTGATTTTACTAAAAATTAAAATTAATTTAATTAAAACTGATTAAATTAAAATTAAATTAAATTACATATATATAGGGTGTTCTGAATCTTTTGGAGATGAAAAATTGTGTAGGTAGGTTAATCGGGTCAAACTGAGAAGAAAAATCATGTATTATTTTGCAAAAATTGTAGTAGTTATTAAGTTATTAATGATGAAAATGACCATATTATCAAATTGTTTACTTGATAACTTGAAAATTCGCGTACCTATTTGCAAAATAGTAAAGGACTTTTTTGTTCAAAATGACCTAATCTACAATGACGACTATTATGTCTAGCGATAGATACGAGTATATTGAACTTTGAACTCTGAATCTTGAACCTGTCGGTAGGCACAATAGCTATTATATAATTGTAGATTAAGTCATTCTGAACAAAAAGGTCCTTACCATTTTGCGAATAAGATATACAAATTTTTAAGTTATCAATTAAAAAGGCCTCTAGATGTAGTCATTTTTTATCAATAACTATTGCGATTTTTGCAAAATGGTATATGACTTTTCTTATCAGTTTGACCTGATTAATCTTCACAATTTTTCATTTCCAAAAGATCCCGGAGACCCTGTGTATATATATATATTTTTTTTTTTTCTTAAATTCAAAAAATTTTAAATTTAAAATATTTATATATATATTTTTTTGTAAGCGTTGCTATAAAATTGAATCAGTCTTTTTTCTTAAATTCAAAAAATTTTAAATTTAAAATATTTATATATATATTTTTTTGTAAGCGTTGCTATAAAATTGAATCAGTCTTTCAGAAATCCATCAGAACTTTTGCACTCACTTAATATAAAATATAAAATAAAAACTATAAAGCATGTGAAATACGAAATATTCTCTGCATAGATAGAATATAAAATACTATGTGATTATGTTTGCGGCTGCATGTGAGCACCGAGAGAAGCAATATGTCGAAGGAGAATATAACTTCGGGCGATATGATCCTGGCTATGATTTCATTAAAACTTCGTGCGTCTTCACCCAACAGAGATGGGGGTCTGGAGCTTGTAACGATTACCAAACTTGGCTCGGACGACGGCCATAAAGATCCCAATAAATGATAATACGTAATCCTTTCTTCAAGCATACGCACGAATATTACCTAAAAACAATTCGAAATTTATGCTCGTCGTTCTCCAATATTTCGTCACTCTGTGTGTCTCTCTCTCTCTCTCTTTCTTTCTTATCACCTGGCGCTGCAGCCAAGCCATCGCGAGAGTACGCGTCTGCCGTAGTTCCGTTTATAGACCGTGGGCAGCCTTGCTATAAAGTTGAGTTTTTGCGCATAAAGTCGACTCCGTGTTAATTATTTTTAGCAAGACCCACCAGATCTTCTCTTGGAATAGCGCGGATTCGAGGCCCGTTATCGTCGTGGCAGATCGTGACAGAAGTTGTGCTCAAGGTTCGCGGCATATTTCCAAACTCTCATTATCCGGTCCGGCCGCAGCCGCCAGTAATTTCTCGCAGCCTTTCAGGCACCCGCACTTGATAAAACATTTCCCCGCGACGCGCGCGCGGACCCGATCGATGTTTGGCTTAGCTGGCGTGAAAATAAAGGTCGCGTTGATTTATGCGGAGGGTGGGTGTTTCATAAATTGCGCACGACATGTTTGCCGAAGCATCGCCCGGTACCGCCGGCTCTTCCTTTTACTTCGCAGCGATCTTGATTTTTCCATTGCAGCTTCCACGAGGAAGAAAAGCATCCTTGAGCTTTACAGTCCGAGCGGTTCTTTTTTAGCTGATTCTTGCAGTCTTTGAGTCACAATTTTTTTCATACATGTCGAAGGACAAATTAAACAAAAAATACGAGACCCTCATTATACGCCATTATGGCGGCTTCGCAGCCGTCGTAAAGGTTGATAACGCATGTTACTTCGCCAGAATCGTCCCCGGGGGCGATTTTTTTCGTCGTTTTAGCACCGCGTCGCGCTGCAAACGCTTCCCCCGAGTGCTCCGCCGGTCCTAGCGACATAATATAAACAACACGCCGCGCTCTTCGTCTTACGCCGGAAGGTCGATAATTAAGACCGCGCACGTCCGAACAAAGCCGCGGGTGTTCGCCGGGCCCCCGCCGCCGAACTCGCCGTCGATCGCAATCGATACACAGTCGCGACGCTTTTTCCTCCGGCGGGCGTGAATGGACTTTCTATCCGTGCGTTACACCCGTGCGGTCGCTTCATTCACACGTCCTGGCGAACGTCGCCTTCGATTCGCATTCATCCGTTCCACAGCTACCGCAAACAGCGCGCGGCCCGTCTATTGCTTTTCCCATGTCCCGCTGTGCCCTCCGTCCCCTTCCCACTCATCTTCGCCGCCAGTCCCCTTTTACCCCCGCTGCGACTTGTTTATACATATGCATGCACCTGCCTCGGTGGATCGACCTCGATGCAACCTATTGCAAATTATTATTGCGCGCCGAGACGCGCTTCAAGTGAGCCGAGCTGCGTCGTCGTCGTCGTCGTCGTCGTGGTGATCCTCGCGCCTGTACAACGGAGAGCCTCGCTAAAAATATTTTATTGCGGTTACAGGACCGCGACGGCTATTACCGTCGCGCGCTACATTTTTCAATCGCCCGCGACACGTATTTATAGAGCGGCGCGATCGCGCGGACTGACGCGAGCATCGTCGAGACCGAATAGAGTTGCGAAATTTGGGACGCAAGGACGAGCGCGTATAATTCAGCTTCTTTTGAGCGACGTTCTTCCGCGCGAGACCGGATTTCGCTCTCGCAGAGATTCCCCTCCGTGCGCTCTCAGGAGCCATTCGGAAGAACTAATAGGAGTTGCACCTCGGCACGCGGCACGCAAAACTGGCGCACAAAGCGGCGCGGAGAAAGTCAGGTATCGCGAGACTTTCTTTGTTTCAGTTATACCACGTTAATAAGAGCGCGATGCAGCGTCCATCAATAATATTGTTTAACTAAACCCGAGTAGAAAAATTAATAGGGCTCCGATAAGAGCCTGATTTTCCCCTAATATTAATCGAGCCCTGGTAGGGATAGAAAGACAAGGGCTCTACAAGATGTGGAACGGATCCTTATAAGGCAATATTATGACAATATTAATTGGGTCTTATAAGGAAATATTTTTATTGTTGCTTGAGTAAAAATATTCGTCCTTCTCATTTCAAGAAATTTTAGTAACTGTAATTTGTTTATTTCTTTATAATCTTGTTAGTATACAACAAGAATTTTTTATTTTAAAAATATAGCATATTTTGCAATAAAATATAACATTCTTTACATATAAAAATCCTGCTGCTATTTTCATTAAAATTCGTTGCATTTCAAAACGAAGGCAATACTAGAAAAATCCTTGAAAGAGACTAATGAATATGGCAACTGATAAAACTAATAAAATTTGTTTTTAATTATAATTATAATTTTTTAGTTTTTAATTTTAATTATAATAAAAAATCTTTAAAAGAACCAGGTAGAGCGTACCTACTAAAACAATAATAAACTATGACAATTTTATTACACGCTTCAGATCTTATTAATTTTCTATAACAAAACTTGATTTTGTATACCTAAAGCATCCTTTTAAAAGAATCTCCTAAAGCCCATATCAATTTTCCATGTTAAAGCGTTATTTCGCAAAATCTGAGGCATTCCTAAAAAATCCTTCTAAGGTCCTTATCACTTTTTCTTATCGAAGCCTTATTTATTAAATTTAAGGCATATTTAATAAATCCTTCTAAGGCTTTCATCAGTTCTCTCTCTTATGAAAGCTTTGTTCCGTAAAATTTAAGGTATTCCTAAAAGATCCATCTCAAGGCCTGATGTGGTAATAATGCAGGCATCCCTTTTTAAGGCATCCTATTTTCGGGGCCTTATGCTTCATGAGGATGGCCCTAAATAATTTTTTGCTCAGGAACACGCTAGAAAATGATAAACGCGCGCGATGCATGACTTTCGAAGTAAGCGCGAATAAGTCACGAGCGACGTTTATTTTTGCTACTCGTTTATGAGGGACAACGTAAGAACTCTTGACTCGATTTTCACGCAATTATTCGTCTCTCTTGCGCTCGAGCGAAATTTCAAGCTGATTTAGTTGATTCGAGCTTCGCTGCGTCTCTCTCTGCGGTGGTTGTGGATTCGGCGTGTACCGACGTGCATCGCGAAATGCTTCTCTTTTTTCTCATCGTAATGGAATTGGAAGAGGCAAACCTCATAAAATTCAAACGTTCGGGAAACGTACGTTTTTGGAATGAGGAACTTAGCTCGCTTGTCGAAGCGGAAGCCCCTGTCCGAGCGTTCTGCTTCAGCGATTTCCTGCTTCTCCCTGCGATCTTCCTTTTTCCCGCAGCGACGACACGTTGAATCTATTTCCTATCGTATTTTACGAGAATTATTCATCCGTAGCGAGAGAAAAGCGGTACACATTGCGTTTACACCATTTTTCTCTCGCGATAATTCGTCCATTCGCAAGAACTCCTCAATACCTCGATTCGACGATTTTCTCAAACGCTTGATTGGAAAATGGAGAAACTGCACAAGTCTCTCGTTAACTTCTAACAATCTATATCGTCATTCGGGGTAACGTCGTGAGTTTAGGGGATGCGACTGGAGCCGGACGTTCCTTTCGAGACGCGCTAGTTATAAATTAACACGCGAAGCACCGCGAGACGTCTCGGACTTTTACCGGTAATTTCATCTTATCTTCTCCAATGCGCAGTTCGATCTTCGCGAGTGGCGTTGGCAAACCTCCTCGTTTGGACGCTGCCGAGGCAAGGAATACGAAACGAGTCGCGAGAGGAATTCCTAATCGCCAAGGGACAGTCGAGCTACAACTCGATGCTTGTAAACTCGGTTTTATCCTCTCGATTTGATAAAACTCCGGCTCCTCGTTAGAAAGGATGCGCCGCGTCACAGCTGAATAGGTTTGAGGAAATGTCCCTCTTACTCGAATGTAATTTTAATTCAACCAAGTGCGCGTTGAGAATACGCGGAGAATGTCGGATATGTTGAGTGTCGCTGCGGTTTCTCAACTTTCTTTTTCAACTGGATTTTTCAGCAACTTTTTTAACAAATTTCTTCATCGTCGTCGATTTGTATCGACGTCGATTTAATTTGTGGATTTTACATAACAATGTGGACACACATGAAAAATATAACACGCCGTGTACACAACTCGAAAACGTCGAACTTCTGATTAGAACAATACGTATTATAATTCACAGAGTATGAGAAACGAAACAAAATACATATCGCCTGATCTGCATGAATATACAGCGCGCCCATAAGTACAATGCTGCTTTAACTCTGGCTCTCTCGGAGCAGAGGCTTAAAGGGAAACTAATTTGCATACAGAGAGCTCAGTGAATTCGAAAATTTGTGTGCAGACTCTGCTCGTCGCCGGTCGTCCCTTTCTTCCCTTCCCGCGGGAGCGGATGTGTTTGCTTATTGCACGCGTGAATTTTAACTTCTTCTGGAGGATAATAAATTATTCAAAAGTGCGACATATAAGTGACGGATATTACCGAGACTGCGATGAAATATATGTAGACGGTGCTTCAATAGAAACGTGGAAGCGCTTTTCACATATTTTCGTCGTGTCCGTTCGAGTGTATTTGCGACCTTTCACATCGTGACGGGAACTTCGCGTGGTTGACAATGTAGCATTACCTGAAATCGGAAATTCATTAGTGTTTGATCAGTGAGAAATACGCGTATTGTCAGGTGACTCGTTTATATCAAGAGCGTGATTTAGTTTTGCAGGTTTTGCAAGAGATGGCATTAATGTCAATCGAAGACATTCCAATCACAGCTATTGTTTCTTAATGCTTTGATATTAAATCATGATATTTAGTCATTTCTTAACCACCTACCATTATTAACAATAGACGCAATAAAAATCGTGTCAATACCATCTTAAAAATGGAGCTTCCTAAAGAGCACTTTCGACATGCGTTGCTTTTTTGAATCGGAAGAAAACGGCGGCTGAAGGTCATAGAATTCTGATAGAAATTTGTAGTGATGTTGCTCCATCAATTAAGACACGTGAATATTCGTTTAGACGATTCAAAAGTGGTGATTTCAATATTAACGACAAAGATCGCTCGGGACAGACGAAAAAGCTTGAAAATATGCAGATTTGCAAGTATTATCGGACGAAAAGTCAGCACAATCCACTTCAGAACATGCCAGAGCATTAAATGTTGATCGTACAACAGTTACTAAACGTTTACGTGACATGGGAAAGATTTACAAGGAAGGAAAATGGGTCCCACATCAATTGTTGGAAAATGCCATTGCGAACCGGATGAACATTTGCATTTCGTCAGACAAAAAATGAAAAGTTTTTTATATCGAATTATTGAGGATGAAAAATGGATCTATTTCGGTAATTCCAAACGAAAAAAAATTATGGATTGATCCAGGCCAACCAGCAATATCCACTTCGAGGTGCAATATTTATAGTTCAAAGGTATCACTGTGTGTATTTGGTGGGATCCACAAGGTGTTGCGTACTATGAACTGTTAAATCCGAATGAAAAATTATCACCGCTGATCGTTATTGACAACAATTATACAAATTGAAGCGAGGATTGGACCAAAAAGGATCATCAATTGCGAGTAAACGGCGCAAAGTGATCCTTCTTCACGACATGTTTCATGTTGCATTATCAGTGAAGCAAACGCTATTAGAGCTCGAATGGCAAGTTTTACCGCACCCCGCGTATTCTCCATCCTTATCATTCTTGTTCGCACCGACCGGAACTATGATTATCATCATAGTTCCGATCGATGCAACATGCTCTACAGCAGAGTTTCCCAACTTTTTTTGTATTTCGTACTCCTAAAAATTTATTAATAAACCTTCGTACATCCTACAAACAAAAAATGATTCGTATGTTTTATGATAAAAATTAGTTGTTAAGGTTTTAAGGTGAGATGTTAATTTCTAATAATTTATTATTACATAATATTGTTTTATAGAAATTAACTATCATTTTAATATTATAAAATTATTATCCATGGTTTGCATAGTGATACGTAATGAATATATATGTACAGATATGTACGTACGATAAAAAATATGTAATTTTAATAACATTCTTTTTAATTCGTTGATAAAAATGCCGGATTATTCCAAAATTCATCTCATTATTATTAATTACAATCACTTTTCCTCGCACCCCCTTGGTTGGAAATCCCTGCTCTAGAGGATATATACTTTCAAAACTTGGAACCAGCGCGAAAATTTATTGATAATTGGATCAACGTCAAAGAAGAATCTTTTTATCGTCGCGGAATCCATTTCTTGTCAGAAAGATGGGAAAAGATTGTAGAAAATGAAGGGAAATATTTTGATTAAGGCATTCATTCATTATCTAGTTTAAGTGAATCAGTTAAGTGAATCAGTTTTTGAGAAAGAAAAACTTGAAAGCTAAATCACGCTCCTAATAAATATGTCTCAAATTTCGGCCCATTTTCTCGCGTTACCGACCTCGAGCGCTCGACGGAACTTCTCCGACATTACGAAACACGTTATCGGCAGGACTGTGGGATACATTTTAACCATCGTATAAACCACCTCTATCGCCAAGTCGCTGCAGCAGAATGACGTTATTAGAGTGAGAGATCGCGCGACCCGATACGGCATCATGAAGAAAACGAATCCAACGGTGATGCTGACTGCAAGCAGTTCGTTATTTCCAAGTTCGCATATGTGCTCGTGTCGAAGCGAACATGTCGCCATGTACTCGCGTTAATGAAAGACAGGCATGCTCGCTCACCTAGCAGGAGGAAACGCTCGATATCCTTGCTCGACCATGTTCCGTCTATCGATCTCATGGTTATCAGGTCATACAGAATAAAGCTGTCGAGCATAACGAAAATAAAACACGGGAACATTAGGAACATAACGGTGGAGGACACGCAGATGTCGTACATGACCTCTTTCTCGTAGTGTTTGTATAAGTGCAGCTCGGTGCATGTCAGGACAACGCTCATTATCCAGATGAACAGAATGCCCTTCACGGCCGTGGAGATTTTCAGGAGCGGTGCGCGCAGACGTGAGCTTTGATGACAGATCACCACGTACGCCTCGATGTGAAGCTGAACTGTCGTCAGCACGGACGTGCCGAAGGTCACCAAAAATATATAGTCGAGATTTATCCTGAGGTGCATATCGAAGATCCAGCGTAGCGCTTGCTTAAACGGCTCGATCAGAATCATCAGGTTCGAGCACACCAGGCTCATTATGTAGCAATTGGCGGTGGTGCGCATGGAAGAATTCAGCAGGATAACGAGACCGAGCAGGACATTCAAGTTGCAGCCAAGCAGCAGAAGCACGAGGTCCATGATATCGCGCGTGGGCTTGGGGATGATCGGTATGATGGTGTTCATCTTCGTAGGGTTGAGATACGTGTCGTTCAACTGCAATTTTTTATGCAATAACTTCACCTCCGCGTATCTGTGAAAGTCTTCCAGGTCGTATTCATTCATCAGCATCGTGCTACAAAGCGCTGCTGTGGAAGATCTACGTTGAACTTTTTTCTCGCTGTAATCTACGGATTCGAGACTCTTAGCAATCGGCAGAGCGAACACCTCGACCAATTCCACCCGCTGGCTCCTCGGTCTTTGTGCCGCCGTTAAACTGTACTCCACTTGTCCAATCTAATCGGCCTTACGCATGTTAGCTGAATTATGTTCCTGTACTTCTAGAGAGGCACGAGAGAGAAGTGCTCGCCGACAGACAGACAGACAGACAGACAGACAGATTCCGGCGGCACATGTTGCTCGACGCTCTACACGCTTATTACTGAGTGTCATCAGCAGCTTGTAGCTGTTTGCAGGATCGCCGTCTGTTTTACCCTCATCTCTGTGGGAGTGTGACGCCTTAAAACAATATAGGTGGGGCCGACGAGCAACAATATAATACAAGTTGCCGACACGCGACCGTTTCATTTGCTAAAGTGGATCTCTAACGAGATATGCAAGGCTCGCCATCGGGAATTACATTTACCTCGACGAAGAAACTAGGAGAATTCGCGCGCATTCGATGGTATCATTGAGAAAGAAGAAAAGCCGTAACCGGCGGATCGTGTTGCGCGTCGCTATAGTTGGCTTTCGCGAGAAAGATTTATCAGGAGCCAATTCCGTCGCGAGTCCGCGAGCGAGCGCGACATTTCTCAAGTTTGCCGTGTCTTAATAACATGCTGCCGCGGCGTTCGTCTGTACATTTGCATAATAAGATAAATGCGTCGAGCATGTCGAACGTCTCTCGCCGAGGAATCCCCGGGGGTTGCAGTTTCTTCTTCACGAGGAGGAAACCTCTGTCCTTGAGGACCCCGAAGGCTCCCGCTTTCCGACCGCGAATAAGCGGCGAGTGCGGCGCGAACGGAGGTGAAATAAAAGGTGACGATGCTGGGATAAATCGCGCTGCTTACGGCTCGTTCATTCGCAAAAGAGAAGAGACGGGAGAGCTGCGGCGGCTGACAGAGTGCGTATCGCCACACGAGTGAAATGAAAGAGAGAGAGAGAGAGAGAGAGAGAGAGAGAGAGACCCTTGCACGCGACTGTACAATACAGAATTTGCAGGACGCTCCTGGCAAGCGGCCACGGGCGCAATATCAGTTAGCCTTTGCCGCTGATAGATTTATCGTCGAGTTTATAAATTCAACCCCTTTGGCGCACGGGGTGTTGTATTTCTTTGAAAATGGAGCGCGACTATCTGGCGTATTGTGCAGCCCGGAGACGCTCACAATGGCCACGTTATCAGCCGAAGGAATCGGCGAATGCCGACGTCGACTGTCTCTCGTTGCGGGGGAAGACGCGGTACAAATTAAAAATTGCGCGCGCGCGGGTTATAGAGACGGGTTAACAATGGCAAAATATTTATCGCGCTGGTACACCGCGCTCGCGTCGGCAATTCGATTGCCGATGGGTCGGATATATTTCAGCGGGTGATTAAAATGTCGAGCGGGTCTCTCTCACTCTCTCTCTCTCTCTCTCTCTCTCTCTCTCTCTCTCTCTCTCTCTCTCTCTCTCTCTCTCGCTCGCTCGCACTCGCATTTCGTGCCCGCTTGCGTATTTACTTGTGACCGCGATTTATTTATTCGCTCATGGGCCATTTTATTGTCGTACGTGGCGGCCGCGGACGGATCGAAAAGCCCTCGGGATCGGCCGCTGTGGAGCGGCCCGCAGCTGCGGTCGGAGCCGCTCTCTTCGCGGCGAAGGACCCCGCGAGCCAGTTCGACTACGTGTTTTCATCCTTGGACCAGGTGCGAGCGAGAGTGCGTGGTTGATTTTTGTGGGTTCCTTCCTTCGCCTGCACTCACCTCGCTTGTTCTTCGTCCGCTTCGGGATCGGGTTAGTGATGGAGGGCGATCTCGGGGCCGAATAAGTGCAGTGGCAGGGCCTAAGGGCCCAGGGGCCGCAACCGGTTCGCCCCGCTTGGGCATCATTACAACGTAACTTAAACGACCCTGAGGTGCCTTCGAGCTCCGCGATGATCAGTGAGCTGTATTATCATCGCGGGATAAGCTAGCATTCCAGCGTGGCCTCGAAGGTGTAAAGTAAAGCAAAGTTGTCGCGCGCTCCAAACGCGAACACGAGCAGTCTCGACTAAAAGAGGTCACATTGTGATGACATTTTTCGGCGCAACGTCCACGCTGGAATCTTCACGACTGCTCACGACAGACAGCCGACGTTAATTGTTTGCTTTTTGCAGTGGGGAGTTTTTGCAATATCATTTCTCAGATACGGCAAACGTAATAAATCGTGAATGCTATTGGCCGCGTACATCGCGACGTTATTTCTGAGCGAATAACGGTCACGATTTACGTTTACCGTAAATCTGAGAGACAGTATTGCAAAAACTGCCCATTGTATTTTGTACTACCGCTTCATTTACCGCCGAGGTCCTCTAAGTGGCTTCTATTGATTGACAATAGTCCCACCGGGGGTGAATATGTAGCAGCTTAATTTTACATTTGGGCGCGCGTGCGCGCAGAGGAAGAGCTTCGAATGCGTCAAGCGTGGCCGACCTGTCGACTCGTACGAAAGTTTATCTTGGAACTGGTTGGATATTTATTTAAACATGGCACGCGCGCCTACCGCGGGTCTTCTGTCACACCTGCTCAACCTGCTTCACACCGTTGTTGAGTCGAGGATTGTTGACCGTTGGCCGCAGCCAAATATGCCGTGCGCGACAATGTTTCCCTTCCGTGTTTATCAGGCATCCATCATGATGATCACTTGTCGCAATGTGCCATTACATTGCGTTTCTTCGCATTCGTGAGTTATTTACGTGCTGCCGCGTGAATTAAGTCGCCATCGTTCGCGTGCCCACGCGGTTTATGTATGAAAATCTGTCCAAGGGCTAATGAGAGCGTATTCTCTAATGCCCGGCTTCTTCACACCTCGCAACAACTGTCTTCCAGATAAAGATATCCGTCAGATAACTAAAAATTCGTTTTCTTCACTGAAACCTCTGGTTACATATCTAAGAGATAGCTATTCTTCATACTACTAACTTTTGACACGTAAAATGCACTAGAAATTTACTATAAATCATCATATTCTACCAGCGACATATTCTTTTCCGGGCTAGTTCTACGACCGACATATTCTTCTGAAGTGAGGTTATGTGAAAATAAATATTCTTGAGCCTGTTTTTATTATAAAAAGTGTTATTATGAAAATTGTTCGGTTTATTTCTTACTGTATAGGGTTTTCTTTCTATAAATTCCTCCTCCTCCTCACCATCATCAGATTCAAAAATATTAATATTCATGAGTAACAAATCCATGTTGTGTTTTCATAAAAACAGCAACAGCAACGGCAGATTACGTATTATTAGGTAATTTTTAGGTTATGTCGGGGCACTGAAATCAATATCTGCCAGATATCCGTTACTTCAGGTAACGGATGAGTTTATCTGCCGGATACAAATTTTATAAAGGTGAAGAAATCCAATTCTGGGAGATATCTCATGGATAAAGTTACCGATAATTTATTTAGAGGTGAAGAAATTGGAAGATAAGTCGAGGTGGCTCGCGAAGACGCCATTGCCGGCACGCGGAAGAGGACGGCTCGCGTCTCGCGGGGATATCGTAAAAGGGGCATTTATTAAAAGTCCGTAACGTTTCACCGCAGCCTCGTGCTTCGAGCCGAGCGCTCTGCTCCTGTTGCTCTTCGTGTCAATAGACTCGTATTTTATGCATGACCAGTCGGGCAAGTTTTTCCTGAATACCGCAAGCGTGATGCGCGCACGGCTTGGTAACATTCGATACTTTGTACGCAGGTGCACCCTTGAAAACGGAAAAAGAAAACGTGTGCGGCTTTATGCTGCGGATTGGCCGCTTCGGTTGCAGTAGAAAACGCAGCAGCTCGGGGAGTTTCGCCGAGAACGAAAGTTTCGCAGGTCGCACTTTTATCGCGATGCAGCATAAAGCGTCTCGCGTATCTGTGACTTTTTGCTCGCCCTGTTTTCCCGATTAGAACACGTGGAGCGCGCAGTAATTTTATACGCGACGATTCGCGGCGATCTTCTGTAATGATATTATTCGTGTCACGCGAGCGTGTCATGGAATAGCGTACGAGCCGATGTGTTAACGATCGCATGTCCTGATCGGCAACCGCGAATCGAGCACAAAAGTAGCCTTCTGAGAAATTCGGCTGCGGGTTACGTCGGACCAGACTTTTACTTTTTTCTTTTGTTTTGAAAAAAAAAAAATCAGGCGCGCTAACAAAAGCACCACCTGTGAATCGCCGAGCAAATTACAGTAATCTGCACTTTCGGGCCTAAGATGGTCGCTCGGAAGCACTCGGAAGAAGGGACCTGCGCCGAGAGTCCTTTTGCTCGCGGGGAGCCGAATTGTGCCGTGATTGGACCGGGCTTGGCCGGTTACCGTTTAATTGGCTGTCGAGAAGTTGGCCGCGTGCGATGAAAGCGCGCGTCTTCGGCGATTTTCGACGGAGCAACAAAGCTCCAATATTGGATCGGCTGCACGCGCATGCGCGACGAAATCTGACCGAACCCAGTAACGTATGCGTGAACAAATGAGTCTAATTTTTGGCGATGTGCGGACGGCGGGTAGGTTAAACGCAGGTAAATACATGAAGATACCGCATTAAGTATACAGGGTGTCCCAGAACTGCCGGATTTCTTCTTGGGGGATAAAAGGGGATAAAGTTTGTTGAACCGAAAGTTTCTCTACCACTTTTGGATCAGAACATTAATTTATGAGTTATTAACTAATAAATCTGACCAATCAGATTATACGGTGGGCGGGTACACAGTGGAGTAGGATTCAAATTTTAATTTCAATCTATCAAACTGAAAATTTTCAAATTCAGAGAAGGGGAGCGAGAAAGGATAGGCGCGGTGTGGAAGCAGAGGGGGGCAAGAAGAAGAAGGGTGAGAGAGGACGGCATGAGTGTAAGATCTACACAATGCGTGGAAAACTATTTTTCATTTTCTGTATCTCAAAAGATCTTACACTAATGCCACCCTCCTCTCTCCCCTCCTCTTCCCCCTCCCCTCCCGCTCTGCGCCCATTCTTCTCTTTCTTCCTCTCTAGATTTGAAAATTTTCAGTTTGATGAATTAAAATTAAAACTTAAATCCTACTCCACAGTATGCCCACCCGCCGAATAATTCGATTGGTCAG